CTTCTTCCAGCAACCCACGAAGAAGGGCAATCTATGTATGTTTGTAAACATTTAATTATATAGGAACAAGAAAGTAGTAGAACATTGCGTATAATTATTTAATATCGCATTTTTTTAGGTTTCTGAAATCTTAAATTGTTAAACTATTATCAATATATACGATTATTTATAAACAACAAATTTAACTGTCGATAATAAGAAATTTTCATAAATATACATTTTTCTCTTTTATAACCCTAAGAAAGACTCAATATTGCATCTACCAAATATATCACACAGACTAAATTTAAAAAACCGCTAACTTATGAAAAATTCAACAAGTACATATAATAAATACTGCATATAATATAGAGACAATTAAGAAAGTAAAAAACAAAACACATAACCCCCAACACCAACAACGCAAACCCTCAACAATACATAAATGATTAAAAATGCTCCATGAAAGAGTGGCAAATGGACATACATGAAATGTACATTCAACACGAATAAACTCACGCACATCATTTGATAATACTCCGTTCAAAACAGTACGCAACACGGAAAGAAACGAACCGACCGGAACAAATTAGGTAAAAAGTCAGACTTAATCCATCAACGAGGCCGACAGGAAAAGATTACACGACAGTACCCTTTCACCTTTCACGAACAAGTAAAGGGGAGTACGCTAAGTAAAATAAGTCAAAACTCCCGCCAATTAAGATGACGAAATGGCGAACTACATCGACCAAAAGTTAAATTTATGGGGTACTGTTTCGTCTGTCAGAAATTGGAAGAAATCTAACCAGTATCCACAAAAATTTCCCATAACTCGGTTAAAATCAGGTCCAATTTTTATACGAATTTTTGCAATATGAAATAGGACGTTGCTTTGATGCTCAAAATTTAATCAGGAATATTTTGAAATTTAAACAAAATATTTAGTCCTTTAAAGCACGCAACTTCTTAAAAAGTCAATAGCTCCACAGATAACCCCTATTTTTTATTTTTAAACTTTTTATAAAAAATTCGATGAAAAGGCGTATAAAAAAATTCATAAGTAATTATCCATAAAATAATCAAATATCGAAAAGAAGGCAGTAAAAAATTTATATTTTTAGTTTTTCTTATTATCATCTCTTGATATTTCTAAATATCGAAATGATAAATTTAAAAATGAATTTGGGTAGAATTATGAGACTTTTTCACTAGGTATGCAGGGTGATGAACTTGAGGTTTGGTCGTTTCCGATCATTCTGGTCCGCCCATCCTCGTTGTGCTTGCCAGCGACAAAATCTCCAAATCGATCAGCCTAAGGGGCTTCCACCTACACATTTAAATATTTTTAACTTTTAAGTAGCAAATTTTCATTTATAGAATTCGTCTAGAGGTCTACGGGATAATGAACCATTAGTTTTGTCGTTTTCCGTTCAGTCTGGTCCGCCTATTCTCGCTGTGTTTGCGAGCAACAAACTCTCAAAATTAGTCTAACACTTAAAGATTTTTAAATTCCAAGCAGAAAAGTTTATGCTAGGCCTTGTAATCATTTTATATGAATTCGACTAATAACCGACTCACTCTGAAAATGGCGAGAAGACGGAACGAGTCTGACAGACCAAAACAGCCATGATATCCAGGACAAAACCGACCGGAAAATATCGGTTGGAAATATGACAACTTTAAAAATGGAGAAAGGAATATCAGCCCAATATGTTTTATTTGTTTAGTTTTTGTGCAGTCTAATTTATTACTGTTATTGTTTTATCGTGTGATACAACATACTCAATTACATGGTTATTTCATTTCTATTTTATTTCATGTTTGCTTTTTAAAACTGATTTTTGTAAAATAATTTATTTATACATTTTTTGTCAAACAGCCAAATAGCTATGAATCATACAGTAATCCCCCGGCTACCTTTTTATGCGTAACATCGGGTTGCGAGACAGCTTGTTGGATATGTTTTTATGAGTTTGGCATTGCAACAGTCAGTTTCGAAGATCACTCGTGGGACAGCTGCTCTGATCCGATTCTTGTCGGCTCGCCAGAAGATTCAATAAAACATTTTTTCCATTCCTTCAGGCCGCAAGTGTTACGGGATCTCATTTGAATTCCTTTGGGATCGGGAATTTTTTTTCCTCTGCATTCTTCCGTTTATGACCGGGGGACGAGACGTTTTCGCTCCGTTTCGCCTTTCATCTGCCCACTCGGTGTTCCTTTTAAGAACCCACACTGTCTGTTTATACAGCGAGACTTAACGGCCCCACTTGCTCTAGGCCACACACGCTACGATATTTATTTTAATGAAATCGCTCTTAAATCTTTTTTTCGCGTCCAATCGAAGTATTTATTATATTTAATTGATATAACTTTTGGCTTTTTATTCCCAGGTTTTACAATGCCAAATAACACCACATTTCGTATAATGATTTTGACTGTCTAAGAATGATGTTTTCATAAATTACGTTAATACTTTTACTTGTATCTAAGAAGAAACATCAAATCAACCAGTGTTTTCTTTTAAACATTAATTTTTATGTACATTTACATAATTTGTACGTTTAATTCGAATATTTTCTTATTATAAAACTAATTATCTATACACAAAACTATACCTGATATACGTTAAATAGTTAAATAAAAATCTATTGAAATAACTATATATAAAATGCGTGGTGTTTAGTGACCGTTAGTTAATGATTATTTGGAGATCGTGAGATGCGGTCGGTGCCAACGTTTCGATCTTTATAGAGATCATCTTCAAGGCCTGGTATTTACAAATATTGTTTACATATAACAATTACATTTTGGATGTGGAAAAGTGAATTTATACAATGCAAAATATATTTTTTATATATTCAATCAAATCAATATCTGGACAAGAGAGTAAAGCAACATATCTATGAACACCAACACAATTTCGACTTCAAAAATCCAAAAGTATTACACACAGAACAAAACAAACATAAACGTAATTTCTTAGAAATGGTTTATATCAACAGAGATAAACACAGCATCAATTACAGAACAGATACATGTAAACTCAGTCGCAGCTACGCCAATATCATTAATCAAATTTAATACAGATAACATATCTATATACATTACATTCCACACATCAAATATTTTTCACATAGTCTAATTTCCCAACAATTTAGCTTTCCTTTTCCTATTTATCACTTTCTATATAATCCTGAAAGGATAATCTGGCCGAACCATTACCAACACATTTTTTCCCTTCGTCGGCTCTTTTCACCTCAAAGAAGCCGACGCCTTATACAAAAATGTCTTTTCTATACCGATATCCTTCCCCACCCCTTCAAAATCCAACATATATAAACACAAAATAGCAAAATCACACTGGCACTCTCGACACGTCACGCAAGAATGGAACAATTACACAGAAGACAAACACTTTGAGTGAGTAGAAATACTTTGATTGAATAAATAAAAAATATGCTTTGCATTGTATAAATCCACTTTTCCACATCCAAAATGTAATTGTTATATGTAAATAATGTTTGTAAATCCCAGGCCCTGAAGATGATCTCAATAAAGATCGAAACGTTGGCACGATAAAAAAAATGTTTTTCTAAAACCTACATCACACCAGACCGCATCTCACGATTTCTAAATAAATGTATTTGGTCATTTTGTTGTGGTCTGTGTTACAATTTGTCGGCAAATAAAAGCTAGTTCAACTTTGATTTTTGTGAAGAATAGACTTTTGAAAAATCAAGAAGGCCAGAATAGACAAAAAATATCGAAAACGACCAGGGTTTAAAAAGCCAAACTGTCAATATAACATCATAACAAGTTCTTAGTGCGAACAGTATAATAAAAGCGACCATCTTGATCAATTTGACAATCGTAAACATTTTTTTAACGTTAGACCTAAAAACAGCAGTTCTGACCTACCCAACAAAAATTACAAAACTACAAAACAAAAAAAGGAGAGAAAATTCGTATGGTTGGTTTGAGATGGGAAGTTGGTATCCCAGTGGATCGAAGGCACGATATAGCTCAAGTGGTAGAGCAGCGGCGTATTTAGCCGAAGGTCGTGGGTTCGAATCCCGTTCATGACACTGACTTTTTTATCGACCAATACCTTACAAAAAGATTAATTAATTGAAAGATATTATTTGGTCAATCGGACCACGAAATCTAATGAATTTAATATTTTGAGGTTTCATCATCCCTTTCACTTCAAGAAGAAAACTTTCTCGACACTCCTGAGAATATTGTTGCCTACATAATTTTTTATTTTAATTTCCCGAAGTTTCTTGAATAATATAAAGGCGATTAGAATATAAGAGGAATTGTAAGGATATCTCAGAGTTTATGGAGGACCTGCGTTCCAACCTATGTCCTAGGTGTGAAATCTGAACATAACAGTAAAAGGAATGCTGTAGTTTATCTCTCAAAACATTCAAGGGAATAATTGTTGGATTCGTGGTGAATAATGAAATCGAAACGAAATAAGTCCCATGATCTTTGTATATTTTTAAGAAAATATATGTTTTTTTGTCTCGGCAGCGTCCTTAAGGACAGCTTGGGCCTTAAGACCGAGGGGAATTTAAAATCATTCGTTTGTTTGCCATATTAATTTTATATAGGTAATTAGGTTAAGGTATAGATAATTAATGAAGTATAGGCAATTAGGTATATATTTAAGATAGTAATGTTAGTACAACTTGGACTTGAAATGAAGAAGCATGAGGTAATTCTATGAGATTCCAGCCTGCCGGCAGTTTATTTGAGTTGTCGGCAGAAAAGCACTTTGTGAAAAGGGGGCAGGTGTTTGCTGGCACACGATACGGACCACCCTCGGGTGCCCAGCTTTGTCTATTTCCTAGAAAATAGACAACCACCCCCACCCAAGCCGGCCCGTAGCGGTGCCCCCTGCTTCTTAGGTCCGCCTCTCCCCTCTCTAAGCGAAGTCCCCTCCACGGCACTTGGCCTAAAGGTAAAGAAAGTTTCTTTAAGCACGCTCAGATAACAAACGGCCAGTCTTTTAACGAGTGTTGCCACAGTCGGGGTGTGCTGCCGGTCGCCTTCATCCATCACCGAGGGTTTGTGATAAAATCGTGTCTTAAAACTTAGTCGTTCAGTGGTTCTTCTTTTCGCCAAGTTGTGATCAACCTCGTGTCTCACCAACGGTTTTGTGTCCTGTGCAAGAAGAGTTCCTTAGTTCTACACAACACTAGTGCTTTATAATTTTATATTATATCCAATTTATTCCAGTAGTTCTTAGATAAATGTGGAAATGCTCAGCAAATATGTCGGATTACTCTCTTTATCAGGTATTGTGAATTTTTATATTTATCTGTAACTATTTAAATATATAAAACAAAAACAACCGGCAAATATGAATTACTTGTATAAATATGGTTCAACTAAGTAATACTTTATTTGACTAAACATAAGCACAATTCATTAAATTCACTAGCACAATGCTATGCTTCATGGTTTCCAGTTAACTAAGATTATTCTTGTGAAGGGTTATTATTTGTTGATGAGGCCTTGTGAAAGTTAAAAATTGAAGACAAAGCTGAGAATTTCTTTTCCATTTGTTTTACCAGGGAGCTGGGAATTTACGTTTCTATCTAGTTTAACGAGCAATTTTTAAATGACGATAAAATTATTTCGGTTGGACTTTTCCAAATTGAAATGCCCATTTTTTCCTACTGGGAGCAAGGTCAGTTTTATCATTTTACCAGTCAAAAAGTTCTCTTGTAAAATTATGGTTTGTAAACCTTTTATTTAATATGTAATACACCTATAGTGGGTCTGTGGGCTTTTATGGTATGAAAATGCTTCAGACACGTGGGTGGTGGTGCGTATTTTTTTCTTTAGATAAAGGAAAATATTCTTTAAATGACAAGTAGAAACGATTTTCCTTCCCATGTTGTTCATTTTAATTATCGTTTCGTACGGTTAAAACCTTCGTATTGGCTGAAAAGGGTTCGACATGTCGGTTTGTTTCTCGGCCCACGATGGGTTTGTGTATGTATGGTCCAGGAAAGATCCAAGACCTTTTGTATTTCGTGTCTCTATAATTAGAAAAAAGCGGGTTTTTGCCAATTTTTGAAATGGACGAAATAGATTTAGGTTGTTCATAAAAGGAAGCATAGCAACAGGTTTGTTTTGGTTTTCAGCGCAATCTAGCTGTGTCCCTGTGCCATGGTAGAACCTGTCATTCAGTAAGGAAGTATAACATTGCCAAATTTTATTGACTTATTCATTTTTTATTTGTAATTTCATGATATGTAAATAAATTCTTTGTTAGTACGTAAATGTGTGTTAGGATCTCTCGGTCAGGTTTCCTTATTCTCCTCTAATACGATTAGAGAACTCTTAGCCAGTACGATTAGCCTTCTTAGCCAACTCACGGCATTTTAATATTTTGTAATTCTCTTAGATGTTTTACCGTTGGCCCCGTTATCGAACACGGGTTAGGTAAAGTCTCGACTACCAGGAATCTTTTTTTTTGTCGTAGCCCCAATGGGCTCAGAAGGATACGGCCGTTCCTTTCAAATAGCTCGGTACCTGGCCGGCGACGAGACCTGCACAGGAATTGGGCATAATCTCGTCGGTGATGACATCAAAAGGCTCGCCGTGTTGGGAATTTGTGGCTAATTGAACGTGAATGGGAGCCGTTTTTAGGTCGGGCCATTAAAGTAGTGAGACCAATGACTAGAATGTTGTGAAATCCGAGGATAATTTAAGAGAGGCCAGATAACACGTAAGAAATTATGTAAACTTGGCAAATTAACGTCTCGTCCTTTGAGCTGTGTTTACATTGTCCACGGACAGACTCGTGTCTTTAAGAACAAAGAAAATCATGTTAGAAGAAACAAGTTTTACGAAGTACTTAATTGAATGTCATTAATTGGTCAAGCGGACCACGACAAATAGTGAATTTACGAAGTACGTTTTAAAACGTCCTGATGTCCGTGATGGGTATTATCGGGAACAACCGACCTAAAAGTTCAATACCCCGTAAACTCAAGAAATCTCACAATTTAAAGGGAAAATTCCAAAGAGCGAACATGGTTGGGCAGAGGGGTACCATAGATCGGTTTTACAGCCAAAGATTAGTTACAATCTAAGGCCAAACTGCCGCAAACTCTTATCCGTGTATAAAATTCCCTGTTAATGTAAGTACATAAATAATGGAATTGCTCTCGAGCGGGAAGCCCCGGAAGATAAAACAGGTAGTATCTCATGGGAGGATCTCAAAGGTTCCGCTGCAAATAAATCAGGCTTACAGGAAATTATACCTTTAGAAATCGGCCTCCCTTCAAACCCCGGTGTCCGGCTAAAACTTTTTAATCCCAACGGGGATTTGCGAACGGACAGTTCATCCAACTATTCCAGGTAGACGGGGGTCACCAGAAGGGATTTAATTTAATGGACGGCTGGCAAGAGTGCATGCAGCGGCTCTCCTCTTTTCCCCTAATACCACTGTCGGCGAATTTTTGACCCCGGTCAAAATCAAAGGGCTAAAGTCCTATACAATCCCTTTTGTATTAAGCGGCGAGTTTATCCCCGGCTGCACGTGTTTTCCCCGAGTCGATGACTTCTAAGGTACAAAGGCCTCGCGCTCCTTATGCACATTAACCCAGCCGAAAAAAGGAACCATGACGCCTGTCTTTCTCAAATGACTCCAAAGAAAGCAAGACTGCCCCTTTTTTGCGTACAGGAGGTCTCCTTTTAGGAAGTGTCTCATGTAAACAATTAGTAATAAAATTCTGCGTTGTACGTGCGTCTTGTTATCAGAGTTGATTTGGGCCATCTTCATTTAGATGTTTACAAGATCAGCTCAGTGCATGTGATGAGATACAAGGCAGTAATAATTTAAACTAATTGTACCTGATGATATTGATGATCGTCATCATGAATTGTGACATATCGAGTTTGCGGAGTTCATTTGCTGTCATCTAGGGCTATAACTAATAATGTTTCCATGAGATGGCCTGATCGCCATTATACCATTGTATGTTGACAATTTCGTATTGAGGTCACTCTCATATTTAAGAGTACCCAGTTACCACAAACTGTAATAGTCTGTACGTCTTTAATTGTCTTGCCTTTCAAAGAAGTGTAATCAGTTTTAATTATGTATGTGTCTATAATGTTCAAAGTTAAAATTTCTTGGGGTCTGGATGGTATCCTGTAGGCATATTTTGGCTTTACGTACACACTGTTATCACAATTGATATTATCTCTCCTTTTATTGTGGAATGCTATTGCGAGGATAGCCAGGCCAAAATGCTCCCAAACAATCATGCTACAGCACAACACTGTCATATTTTACATGTCTTTCTTGTCGTTGTTTATTGCTAATATCCTAATTTTTATTGACATCCCCCGTCGGTACATTCATATTTGAATTATTTGGGTCGTCCTCTGCAACAAGAAAAACGCATGAAATATTAACGTACCTTATATCAATCAGGTCAAGCGGTATGTTGTTATAAATTAGTCTCTTTTGGCTGATTTTGACTTGAAGATCACAGGTGTCAATTTGAATAAAACAGTTGATGTTTGGCGTTTCCACTTATTTTCTGCTTTATTAAATTATTTTGAACTTAAAACTATTTATAATACCATTATTTCTACAACATCCTGTTCATAAAATAAAAAAAATCTACATTTTCTTAAATGCTTATGGATCTCTTTGTGAGTGTATCAACTTTAGCTGACAGACGTACACGTGGGACTTGTAATGAGGATGTTTGCGATCAGAAGAAAAAAAGAAGAGCGGCTGCTTAGTGGTCGCAGTTAATAAATCATTTCCTCCAGTTTCTTTTAGTCGAGAACCCCCTCTGTCCGGTAGCTCAAGCCCAGCGCAATTCCCGTTCGATAAATCTCCTCCGTCCTAGTTGTCGTATCCTTCAATCTTAATTTTGGACGTGTCGATGATCCGGCTGCCAATTTGTCGGGCAATAAAAATTGCCGGCTCGATTGGTCAATAACGTAAACAATTAGGCTGATGATGATTTTTGAACGGTCTGTAAGTGGGAGAACTCGTATTGGCAATTTGATCATTGATCATATCCGGTCGGCCAAGGGGTGATTAGACTTTCAGGTTTCACTTGCATCACACATCCTCGAATTAATGAGAGGGGAGAGAAAGATTTTGAAACATTTTCTAAAAGGGTTAATTTTTTCCAACTGGAACCAACACCTAGCATCAACTCTTGAAAAACGTATGTTTTGTTGTTTAATATGGGTTATTTTATGAATCACAACTATTTTAATGATTTTTGCAACTTTTGATTGTATTTTGTACTTGCGTTCATTAGAGCCAGACCGGACTTAAGTGTTCAGTTGAAACTTTTATTTTGTATATATTTGTTTGCTTTGTATATTTTATAATTAAAAATAAAGCTTATATTTTTAATTAGAAAAGTAAAGTTTCCATGTCCGGTTTTGGCTGATTTAGGCTGAGCTGAGAACTCAACATTTCTACAGCTATTACAGAAACGATTTTAGCAGCTCATACATAACTTCCGCCAGTTAAGAACGTTGTAATTACCAAAATGTCTGGTTTTCAGGGTGTGTAGACTATTAACCGAAAGCGACTAATGAATACAATTTACTACATGGAGCCGGTCACTAATTATAGAATCGGGCAGTAAACATCACCAGTCATATTTCATCCTGTAAGCTTGTAATTTTTTTTAAAAAGTTTTATTATGCACCGGGTCATCGGTTAGAGATATTCGACTTAAGTCGGTTTGCGGTAGACTTTACATTCAAGCGAAAACAAACTTAATCCGTGTAATTTATCGTCTCCCTTTCATGTTGATGTATATTTACATATGTACAGCTGGGTCAGAATGGAGATATGCCATGTTTTGAATTCTTGATTAGTGTAATTTTATACTTCTGAGATAAGACCTTGGGGCTTCGGCTTGTTTATCGTTTTTCATTATTTCAAACTAATTGCTATGCAGTTTTACTAACAATTGAATCGGTTAAGAAAAAGGATATCTTATTGGCCGTTTAACTTTCTTAACATCATCGCTGATTATCATGGGTTTATGTTACAGCTAACTGGGAAATTTGATTCCTAATATGAGTTTTAACGGACACCTTCCTATCTCAACCTATCTTTAGATTTTCCCTCCTTTTTCCCATTTTTTCATTACCTGCAAATAGGTAATTTGTAACAATGAGAAAGGGAGTACATACAAAATTAAAAACAAGAATGAAAAAAATAGATTACTCGACATTTGAAAAAATTCACTATTTTTCGTGGTCCGCTTGTCCAATTAATAACATTCAATTAATTAAGGTTTTAAGTTGAGATAAAAAAGTCAGTGTCACGAGGGGGGATTCGAACCCACGACCTTCGGCTTGACACGCCGCTACTCTACCACTTGAACTATCGTGACTGCTATTATTTGGAAAAATAATGAATGTAGTTGTGGATGGTTATTGAGACGTTGGTGAACCTCCTTCTCCCACATCCCCAGATAAGGAATAAGGCGAGATTCTTCCGTCGGATGTCTGTCAAGTCCGTATCGGTCGTCTCCAGTCGGTAGCATGCTTAGTGTATCCGACTGTTGGATCGGATAAGAGAAAATGAGAGTTGGCATTCCTCGAATTTGTTTATGAACATGATTCATGATTGTATCTACCTGTATCAGGTCTCACTTTTTTGCATATACATAATAAATTTAGCAGTCAATCCTAATTGTGTTTTAGCTGTTGTGTGTTTTGGATGTTTCATTAATTGTACTTAGCTGTTATTTGTTTTAGTGTTCTTTTTGTGTGTTTTGATGTTGTCTGACTCCTTGAAGTTTCTGGTTTTGTTTATATTTATTTGAAGGTTGTAGTGTAAATTCTTGAGTGCGAAAAGCGAGGAATAAGGGTTGCGTGAAAGGTTTAATAATATGTTACGCTTATAAATGGTTTCTCTAATCTATGATAATTTCTTCAGTGCACGAGGCGTCGTTCTAAATCCCCCCTTAATTTATAATTCAAATTTTAATGCTAATTAAAAAACTCCGTTAATGCGATTTCCTCTCGGATCGGAGGCCTTCATGGCTAAAAGTTATTTTCACGGTAATCCTGTCCCCCGTCACGCCATCATCACGGTGAGTCGGTTTTACGAGGTAGATCCTCCTCAGGTTTAATCTTCTGGAAATGGCCTTCCCACTTGGCTAATAAACCGGACCGGGGTTGAGTTTGATTAGCGCGCTCGGAACTTAGCAAATTTTGCCACATTTTGAAGATAAATTTTAAGAAAGACGGCCAGAGTACGTTCCGTTTCAAGTCTTTATAATTTATACAGGCCGGTCAAATCTTATCTTCATCTGTTTAAACGTGTTTTGCACTCCGCATTTCTGGAGTGCGTGTAAACAAAATATCCGCCGCCGACAAAAAGCCGGTTATCAATCTTTTCCTCTTTACTCGCTCGCCTTCGTTTTAAAGCTAACCGTCAGCTCCCCTCAGATCTATTTAAGGAACAACTTTAAAAATAGTGTAAACTACAAAGAGCAAGCATTAACGTAATTAATGTTACTCTGCTCAGATAACGAGTGACCCGATCGGTAAAACTCACAATTGACCGAATAACCATCGATGAACAGTCACTATTTCCAATGTCCAACATTCTATCAAAAAAAGATGATAGAGTACAATCTACAAATTAGAATGTTCTAAACATTCAGAACACCTAAAATTGAAATTGTCGGTTGTATGTGCATTTATGTGCAATTAAGATCCTATCCAGCCATTATATGAAGCGAAGATTGTAAGGAGAAAAATAATAAATGAAATAAATCTCAATTAGTGTGCTTAATGAGAATACCGTCCGATTCAACATTCTTCAGAAATTTACGTAAACGTTTGACATTTTCTCTTGAGGTCTGCGGGGGTGATGGAAGTTTGGTCGTTCCAATCTTTTGGGTATGCGGGGGTGATGGATGTTTGGTCGTTCCTATCCTTTTGGTCTGCCTTATCTTCTCTGTTTTCGCCATTATCAGTTGGTTAGACAGACTGGCCTAAACTATTGATGATAGGAAGACTCGATAATCAGTAACTGGTTCAACAAGAAATGTGATGGTTTTTCTTGGGATATCTTCATAAAGCTTAAGACGGAGGGAGGGAGCTCAACAATTAAAATTTGATTAAAGGTTGCAGATCTAGTTAAGCAATATAAACAAACTACACAGCGGGTTCCCAAATGTATTTTTGTTCTGGATGCTCCTGAATATCAAAATTTCTGCCATAACAAAGGAACCCTTTTGGATTGAAGATTGAATAGTGAACTCTCATTTGGGTTATAAGTTTTTCAAAATTTGATTGTATATGTTTAACAATTTGAGACTTAGCTTGCATTCGCAGGAACTGGGTTTTTTAAACAATTTAATTTTTCATAACTTGGGCCATGGACTAACAGTAAAATGCGCCACCACTTGGTCTCTTCAATGGATCATAGGGGATAAATATGGAAAAAAGTTAGAGTTGTTAACTTAGAATTAGCGAATTATTTAAAAAAAAACTTCTTTTGTAAACAAAGGAACGTGAACCACTATTTCATATTGAATCAACAAAAATAATGTTCTTATAGTTTGGTTTCCCCTATCATTCGGCCTATTATCTTGCTTTTTTGTCATTTTCAAAGGTACGCCTCTGCCATTCCCCGTGGTGTGTCCTTTTTGTACATAGATGATCGAAACCCGTTTGACAAGCGAGGTTAAACAGACCAAAGGAAGTTCGGAAACGACGAAATTGCAGTAAATCTCTGCGGTAAATATTTTAATGAGATGTCCTCTTGGGTATCTGAATCTATAATTTAGTCGTTTACTCTGCCAGTCTATCATTTTAATAACTACAACATGTGACATATGTGATGTAATGAACTTGTCTTTTCCGTAACTAAAACAAATGTATAACCAAAAAGACCAAAACAGCGAGGATAGGCAAGTCAAAATGATCGGCAACAACCATGCTGTATTTAGTAGCTGGATATTTGACCTTCGAATACCAAAGTTAGAATTGATCGTTAGTTACTGATTAGTTTCACAAACGTTTGGCGACTGATACGTTTCACCCTGGTGTGATTTATATCAGAACCGTTGGTCGGTGCCAAGTTTGTTCATGGGGCATTGCGTAAAAGCACGTCGACGATGAGGATCGTCGTCTATGTTGTTGGAGAAACAGAATGGTGTCGGCTCTGGCCTGGCCAAGGTTTCCTTTTCTTTTTTTTTCCACCGACGGACCCCGTCTCGGGTGAGAGACCGAACGAAGGAAGGGAAAGCACTGTGGAGCCTTGTGCAGAGCGAGACAGAGAATGAGAGAGATAAGACCTCTGTGAAGTCGCCGCCTTTGGTAGAGGGGGCATAGACAGTTATAAATTCTTCATGGTGTCTTGTAGGCGTGGCAGCGCCGGTTCGGGCATAATTACACGTCTTCTCTCTCGGTCTATTGATGCCTCCTTCTTTCTCGGCGACTCCTCGCTCTCTCTTCCTTCACTATTAATTTTATATTCCCCTCTACGGACACTTCGTAATTGTTTCACGTGCCACGGTTAACTTTAATTGAGTCATGGTCCGCTCGTAATGACTCTTCAGATATTCGACCTGGCCAAAAACATTCAATTATCTATCAAATATACATGGTTCGCTTCCTTTTGGTGACAATTCATGCTTTTTTGTTTCCTGAGCTATTTTCAAAATAACATTGTTATTCGTTTGTCTTCTCTTTCGAACGATTATTCGGAAATCGTGAGATGCGGTCTGGTGTGACGTAGGTTTCAGAAAAACATTTTCTTTATCGTGCCAACGTTTCGATCTTTATTGAGATCATCATCAGGGCTCAGTGTTTGTTTTCTGCGTAATTGTGCCATTCTTGCGAGTCGTATTGAGAGTGCCAGTACACGATACGCAAGAATGGCACAATTACGCAGAAAACAAACACTTTGAGCCCTGAAGATGATCTCAATAAAGATCGAAACGTTATATATTATATGATACTAATATATTATATAATATATTAATATCATCTTATGATCTCCAAATATATTGAAAATAAAATAATGGAATATAATTACACTTTTTTATGTTTACCATGTTGGGTTAAATAATTTAATTATAAGGTGAAATATTTAATTATGGCATTGATTATATCATAAGATAGGTACTTTTTCAAAATAATAATACAATTACCAGTCAAATTAAATTGAAAATAGAATAGAATAATCAACAACTAAAACTCAACACAAACACCACAACACCACCATAGTAGTTATTATTACTAATAACATCAATTCTACCAAACATAGACTAACCAACATACACATCCATGCCATTCGTTCACGGGCATATTTCTTTCTTCTGATAACTGTAAAATACCCTTCAACAACTATTCACACTCTTGATGTAATTTACAAAATCAGTTGTATAAATTATCCTGCAGCTTACATCGCAATTACATACCAATATCTGGATAAGAGGGTAAAACAACTTATGTATGATTTCAAAAAACCCAAATAAAATCCTACAGCACTGGCTACCCACCATTTTAGAACACCAACACAATTCTTGGACTTCAACAATCCAAAAATATTAAACAGAAGAAAACATGAACGTAACTTTTTAGAAATGGTTTACATCAACAGAGATAAACACAGCATCAATTACAGAACAGACACTGCAAACGCAGACTCAGGTTCTCAATTGATATTAATCATTCATCAAATTCAATATCAATAACATGCACATAACAAACAAAACATAATACAACATATAAAACGATCATTACACTCCTCACGTCTAACAATTGTACATAGTCTAATTCTTCAACAAGTTATCTCTTCTTTCCGTAATAATCCCCATCTATAATAATCCTAAAAGGCCATCCAGGCCAGAACGACAAACCATTACCCCTTTTTTCCCCATTGTCGGCACCTTTCACCTCAAAGAAGCCGAACTCTCATAGAAAAACTGGATTTCTATAGATACTTCTTCAAAACCGAACAAATATACAAAAAACATTAATATCTCACTAATACTCTCAACACGACACACAACAGTGACACATCTGCACAGAAAACACACACTTTGAGTGAGTACAAATACTTTGATTATTTGATGATTACTAAAATTCCTATATTGGGTACATAATTGTATAAATTCATATTAATATCTGATACGTATTTGTATACTTTAAACAATGTTTATGAATCCCAGGCTCTGAAGATGATCTCAATAAAGATCGAAACGTTGGCACGTTAAAGAAAATGTTTTTCTAAACCTACACCACCGCATCTCACGATCTCTAAATAATCAGTAACACTAAAGTTTGGTCGTTTCCGAACATCCGGGGCTATCTAGTCTCGCTGGTTGCCAGCCGTCATTTCCGTGATATATAAGTGATTTTTGGTGCA